ATCTGCATAGAGTCGTGAGTCGGTCTCTATGAGTTGCATTTATCATCTGTATAATTGAGATTTATGAATAAACATAATTGTAAATGTTTATGTGAAAATGATGTGAATTGTAGAAGCATGATTGATGAATATGCTTAGTTGTATGCATAGATATGCAATGTGATGTACATGATGAATTGTGAATAATGCCTGCGAATATAATAGTAAATATATATGCACTGATTGGTAAATGTGAGAATGATGTAGATAATAATGTATATGTGAACGATTCGTACTCACTAGGGTAGAATGGCAATGTGTCGTTCCTAGTGGAGTAAGCACTGGGGTAGAATAACAAGATGTTATTCCTGGTGAGGTATAGTGTCGTGGTCATATACACTAGGGTAGAATGACTAAGATGTCGTTCCTAGTGGAATAAGTACCGGGGTAGAATAACTGAGATGTTGTTCTTGGTAGGGTATAAGTGACGTACCCATAATCCTGAAAGGGGATTGGTGCTTAATTAATGAGTTTTATATGAGCCACATGGCATGGTTATGAGTGTTATATGAAATATGCATGTGTGTATGACTTGTTGAAATGTGGGTTGCGAATGAGTAATTGTGAAAGATATTGACTGATGAATTGATGATTAAACATGATTGAATATGTTTATATGAATTGTAGAGAATTAAACATAATGTATATGTTTATGTGGATTGATTGCAAATGTGAATGTATGCATGATGAAATGCTTGGTTTTATACATATATACATTGCGATGTATGTTAGTGGATTGTGAGGTATTGTGGTGAGAAGTATACAATGTGTATTTGATGCTATGGAAATCTATTATATGCATTATTATTATGTTAATATGCATTGTGGTGAGAAAATGTGGAATATATGTATTCTGTACTTGTGCATTTATATATGATTATGTGCTTTGATTATTATGGTAATATTTCTCACCCTTCTGCTGGAATGATGTCCTATATGACATCGTGCAGGTATCTTGGAGTTGTACTGCTAGTAGTTGCGAGGTCTCTGCTGGTGCAGTTGTTTTGTATTTTAATTATGTTGGGTCGAGTTATGCTCTGGTTATGTAACACTGGGATCACTGGATTTATGCCTTAGAGATATATTATGTATTCTAAGTTGTGTTTTAATTGTATTTGAAATATTATGATGATGGCCTCTGTGTCTAAGTGTTGATGATTATGTGATGAACATGAATGTTCCGTGAAGAGAATTATGTAAATAAATTGAATCCATTGAATCTGCTGCTGCATGCAAAGTGAAAATTTAATAGCATGACTATTTATTTCAATGTTACATGAGTATGACAGGTGAATGTTGCGGTTTGTAAATTATGTGTGACGCCCTTTTGTGAAAGCATGTTAATTTACTCTGATTAATTATGTATTTTTCCATGGGGTTAGAAGGGTGTTACACCTCCTACGTCAATTATTAACACTGCCAATTAAGGCAAACACTGGTTTTTATGAACCTAAACATATAAAACATTGTCATTTAGGGCTAGTACAGTTTATGGTGAACCTAAACATAAGAAACACTGCCAGTTAAGGCTAAACCCTTGGTTTGCCTTGAACTTAAACCATCAACATTCAACACTGTATATTCACTAGGTGACTATCAATTAAATTGATCATAAACAAACAAAACTTTTTTCTCCGTAATTATCACTTAAATATGAAAAAGTCGAGGAGTCAAAACCTCTACAAAAAATCGAATCAAACATCAAAATAAGTCAAAATAGGGTTGATGGTCAGTCAGTCACGACCATGACGGTCGTCGCCCCCTTTGTATGCTTATCTGTCATCGCTGACGGTCATGGAGGAAATAGAGCCTATCACGAGGCGCTGACAGTCTAGGAAATCGCCCGTCAGCTATGTGAGACTTGTCATCTTCTCTGACGCAATGACGGTTGAAACGTCCCCTAGGTGACGTCCGTCATCACTGGTAGAATGCTTTTTTCTGCATTTTCTCAACCAAACCAGTCTCAAATTCCAATTTTTTCCAATCCCTTGATAGTCCAAAACTTATAATCTGATACATACGAATATACAACAATTTTTCACATTATAAAGGATGAAATTCCAACACATATATCATCAGTTATACATAATCATTCATCAATTAATCACATAAACATATGAACATCAAGGAAACACAAATTCTTCCAATTCAACACATAATTTACACAGATAATTTTACAATGGTTTAACACACTTAAACATTCTAATATAGATGTTTTGCACAAACCTCACATGATCCAAAGGAAACAAATAGTAAAATAAAAGGAGTTAAGGGAATCCTCACTATCCCAAAACTTAAACACCAAATATAAAACAATCTCTCCCTTCCCATTACCCTTCGATTAAGCAGAGAAATCTTGAGCTCTTGGTGATGGGAGATCCTACTTTTGCACTTCTTTTTTTTAGGATTGGCCTCCATATTCTTCTTTTCCTAACCTGATAGGTATGATCAAACTCCCCTCATTCTTATATAAAATAACCCTAGTTTATTTTATCTCTATTAATTCCCTTTAATTTTAATTATTTTTTTTCTATCTCCTTTATTTCATTAGCTTAATTTATTACTCCATAACCTCTAATTAATCACAATCCTTCAATTTTTTATTATTTTAATATTTTATATTAATAAATTCTTAATTTATCTTATTATTACTCTAAATAATAATAGATAATAAATCACAAATCACAAAGCACGCCGAAAATTAAATAAAATTCTAATTGAATTACCAGAGTGTTATAATCATGTCCTCGCTACATGTATTCTCCATTTTCTTCCCAAATCCAACACTTCTTAACATCCAACATTTCAGACCATCATTTTCTCATCATGCTTCAATAGTCACCTTTGTAAATCTACGGTTTTAGTTTTTTTGAAGGTCTCCTTCTTTATCGGATGGATTCCACTAAGGATTGTCACTGTATTTCGATTACTTCTTTGTGCAATAAACTGTGATTTGAACTCATCATACAACTTCCTCCATTAGTTAATGGAATTGTCCTCCATAGTCTTGAACCACATTAGGAGCCTCCTTTGAGAGTCACTACAAATAGTTTACCTTTCGTCACACTCATGTTTTGGTGATAATCAAACATAGTGTTTACATGCTCAATGTACTCGTCAAAGTCCCTGGTTTTGCCTTAATTGTCAGCTTCTGCGGATTCTCCGAGGATTTCAAAATTCTGCATTAAATAATGTATGTGGTGAATGTATATTTTCAGTTGTGTGGGAGGCTTGAAGAGATGACTCTCCAATCGATTGAAGAATCAGACTTTGACGTGGTACTACAACTGATGAAGTGATCAAGATCGAAGTATCTTGGTGTGAATGTAGATTTTATATTGTAATTGGCACGAAAATGTCTTGACACATTTGAATCTTCGATAGAGACGTCACGCACGGAAATTGCGTTATGATAAGTGGTAGATCGAGCCGTCTTAGATCTTACTATTAAAGGTGATTACATAAAACAGTTTCAAAGAGGTCAAGAGTGATCAGAACTTGATAAGGAAAACAATTATGGTGCCTGGAATGGCTGATAGAAAATAGTTGTGGTGGCACAACAGAAAAGATTGTGAGAATGTAAAGGTAATTTGTGAGAATTAGAATATAATTCCTATAGAAGGTGTCACCATTCTAGAGTGAAATATAAAATGTATTATACGTTGATAATGACCATCGTAGAAAGTTTTTTAGTACGGTAGGTAACATGTATCTCTAGTGAGCGAAGAGAAAGGTACATGTAAGATTATTAAAACGTGAGAGGTGGAATTTCCACATATATGAATGAATAATACCTTCCCGTGACGTAGAACCACACGTATATAGGAATTACGGTTAAATTTTTCACCAAGGGATACAACGTAAAACACAAGATGTTAGATGCATATTAACATTTGAGATGAAAGTGCGGCTCTACTTCATAGCAGTACTTTGTGAGGATTCACTTGTCCGGTGGACGCCTAAAATTAGATTGGGTTGGTCCTATTAAGTGGTTGGGTAACCTGAAACAATTATCTATATGCAAATAACACAAAATACCACAGTTGTTGGATCAAACGATATGTGAATCCATATCGATAATTGAATTATATCGGGACTGTTGGCAACCTGAAACAAGTATTCATCTGCAAATAACAGTTATTGAATCAAACGTCCGTGAATCTACACCGGTGCATCACACACTAAGTATATAAATATAAAATTGCTCTAAAGAAGCATAGCTTATAAATAAGAGTAACAATAAATGAATTGTCTCGCCTATAAAAAGAAAAAGGCAAATTTTATCATATATAAAGGTGTGTATAAAGGGTGTATAATTAAATATTCAGCCATACCCATATCACAAAACCACATAGTGAATATGCCAAAAACAAAAGACAAGACGACAAAGCATATGTAATTTTCAACAGTCTACAATAATATAAAATATCTTAGGCAAGCTTGTCAAAGACGCATACATTACTGTAAGAACAAAATATGATATATTACCTTTTGTCAAGGGAATTTGTGATCATAAGACAATAAATTAACTTGGTTCTTACACGGATAGTACATAAGTTTTGGCTTATAAACAAGTTATTATATGGAATTTCACCTGCAAATTTTGATTTTTGAAAGAGTGACAGTCCTGTAATAAATTTGCTACTGCTCAACCCTGAGAAACATTCATGGCAATCAAATTCTTGCCAAAGATTTCCATACAATCAAATGTTTACATGAGTGAAATTCACATTATAATGTGCAAAAGCAATAAACACTATAGGAGGAAGGTAAGGAATGTACATGTACATGAAAGACAAATTACAACAAATAAAAATGCCCATTTTCTGATTTTCCTTCTTCGGAAAGAAAAACCCTATAAATGTTATTAAAGCCACCACCACTAATGGTTGTGCTGAATTTTCTGAACTAATATATACCTAAGAAACTTGCCCCTTTCCAACCTCCTCTGCGCATAATCATCAACTTCCTTCCATCGTCCCATGTGCTTCTCTACGCCTACGCCTCCTGCCTGAACGATTCAACAGAACTCTGCCACCACCCTGCCGACGGAGCCGGCTAACCAGGGATACACCATCGTCATTGCCTACATTGTAGCTTCCATCATCATTGTCATCATCCGAGACATCCAGTATGACATCCAGCTCATTGTCCTCGTTCTGATCGGTTAACCTGTTGGGGGCCAGCTCAGGCCTCAGCCGTCTACTTATGCTGTTGAGATCGTTCCCCTGCCGAACCGCATGTAACAGGAGGAAGAAATTCATAGCCTCCATACCCATTTGAAATCTACCATTTCTATCTCCATTACCCGCTTCAAGAGCACCCTCTTCATCATCTGAATCGAAGTCATTATTATGGCGACCTTCTATAACATAATCTCCAAATACCACTGCCCCGGGCATGGCTGATGTCACTGTGCTAATAACATCTTCGCGTTCACGCTCCCACTCAAGCCATCTCCATTTCTGCTCATCATCAGGATCTACCGTCCGTGGACGTGCCAAAGGATGCTCTGCCCGCACATGCTTCTTCAACTCCTTATAGCTCCCAACAAACGTGCAGTCTTCCTGCATGCAGCTTCTTTCCTTTTCGTTGAGATAGTCTCGCACAGGTTCCACAACTGTCCAGCCTTTAACCTGACCCCTACATAGGGGGCAAGCAAGTTCAGTAACTTCATTCTTCTCATCAGTTAAGTTCAAATCATGGCGCACAAATGGACTGCCCAGTACGTTCTGTCCATTACGTGCAGAAATTACTTTGGTGTAAGCTTTCTTGTACTGATCAAGGCAGTTGGAATGACGAAGGCTAGTTCCACACATGTAGGGACGGCAACCCTTGTCGTGAGAAGAACAAAGAAGAAGAACGGCATTGTGTGGATATTCCATGCACACAGAACATGTTACATCTTCGCATTCTTTCTTATCCAATGCTTTAGAGCATTTCTTTTGGCACATTTCCTCACAAATATCCCTTTTGCATCGAGCCAGTGGGTATGGAGTCAGCCTGTACTGACGAGAAGCAACCCTGTATCGTCCTCTGCTTCCTTTTGCCATTTTCGAAGCACCAACAGAACCTGAAGTTTAAACCACAAAACAGTTAAAAGAACACTCTGATTACAGGGACTTAGATATCATACAGTGGAACTACCTTCGCATTAACATATTTGTTTTATGTAAACTACAAAAATTCAGAGACTAACCTACAAATTATATAAAATAAAATAATTTACTCAACAAATTAAAAACCCATCCTCCAGAAAAAAATAAAAGGTGCAGACAAAACAGGAATTTAATTTCCTACAGAAGCAAAACAAAGGATGTAAGGAAAAACATCATTTTGTCAGGAAAAACATCATTTTTTGTCAAGGAAAAACAGCATTTTTTCAGCATTCTACAAACATATATTTGTTAATTTTTCTGAAGTGAAACATAACAGCCCAAACTTATGTGCAAATAATCGGTTCCCAAGCATGTACCTTGTTCCACCACTCCAAAAGATGTCTCTTACTTATCTTTCAAAAATTCAATTCCTTATGAAAAGTGAACTGATATTTCTATGAATTGTCTAAACTATTACTCGACCAATTTTACTTCAGAAGTTTATTACACCAGAGTACTTTGATATTTCTATGAATCTACTGACAGACATTTAGTTAGTGCCTGTAAACTATATACAGAGAGGAAAATTTTCACACTAGGCTTTTCCTAGACAGATGGGTAATTGGATCATGTGTACAGAAAGAGCATTGGATTCCGTCTTAATAGTTTGGCTAATATTTTCTTTGATCTTCTTTTACCTAAATCTATAGTACAATCGTTCATCTAATGCAACTCCCTACTGATGCTGCTGACTATCTTCTCTAAATACGTTCATGTTCAAGCGACATAATGCGAGAGACTTCAAATTTTTCCACACGAGGTGTATCTCCAACTATCACTCTAATATTACATTCCTAAGATTATCTAGTTTTGTGTGACCACTTATATGCTGTAACGTACTCATCTTAAAACAACCTACAGACATTAAATATTTATTAAATTTTCAGAAATCTCAGACTTGGTAGTTCTTCAATTATGATATGAAAAACAACCTAAATAGAGTCAACTAGAGTCCCGTCAAAGAATCTAAACAGGGGATTTCTCGCTTGGGTTTAAAAATGTTTTCTTCTTAATTAAGTATGCTAGCACTTACAGGAAGTTTCCCTGATCTCACCATAATCTTTGAACCTTTCATCAAACGCTTGCAAAATAGTATCCAAAAAGTCCAGTTTACCCAGTTTTAGGATTGATTCCTGGTTTTGCCTCCTTTGCCATGTTGGCAGATAGGAGCTTTGTTGCCTTACCTAGAGGCTTCTAGCTTTTTGTTTCTTTCCTTTACCTTTCATGTTTGGGGCTAGGCCCCCTTATTCACAAAAAAAGAAAAAGTTATTACAATAAAGAAAGAAAAGATTGTTATAGAAATTTACATACTTGTTCATATGAAGCAATCTATATATACCAATCTAAAATGCATCCTTTAATGATTATTTTAAAAAGTTCTGATAATAAATGCATAGATATATCGGTGATATCAAATGCAACATCTGATGCATTACATGTAGGTTGTGCTATAGAAAAAAAATTCATCGCTAAAAAAGTCAACATTCTAGCAATCACATGTAACCTTGAAACTCGTGTTAAATTTGGCGTTATTAGAATTGTTCAGTTCTTCATATCCACAAGGCACTATACAGACGAGAAAAACGCTCCCCTCAAGTAAAGAAAAAACATATTCTGTCCTTTGAGGCCAATGATTACTTTAATAACATTACAAAGGCAGGATGCCTACAAGGTGGTTAGACAGACTAAATAATTTGTGCTCCACCAATCACTGCAGATCAGTTGACTCATTAAATTAACACGAAAGACCTCAATTCTTGGAAGCAATCAAGTCAAGAATCTGGACATGGAGTAATACATCAAAATGACACTAATAATTAAAAGTATGATTGCAACTCAATACTACACCCAGGAGAACAACCGGTTATTTAAAGAATAAAGTAGCAGATTGGAATCCTCTTAGAAGATGACCGGGAGAATTGCATATGCCTAATCCCTTTAAAATCTAGGCATAACCACATTTAAGAGGGTCATGGGTGCATGATACCACAGGACCTGCCAGGATAGTAACATACATAAGAGCATACATGAATGACTCTTATACATTTTGACAGTCTAAACTATGAATTTTGGTCTATAGTACCTAACAGCACCAGCCAGATCGCTTATAATCACAGATGTGGTTATAATCTGCCAGGATAGTAACATACATAAGAGCATACATCAATGACTCTTATACATTTTGACAGTCTAAACTATGAATTTTGGTCTATAGTACCTAACAGCACCAGCCAGATCGCTTATAAACAAAACTTATAGCCAGATCTACTAAACAGGTGCATTATAATATTACAAAATTCACTTAGGCAAAACTTCTCTAACCACAAAATTTAGTTCATAACATCCAATCTACTAATATGATGAAAGAGAATATAACGAGTTCTATACGAGAAGAGAAAAAACAAACTAGTTGGTTATCAAACCATCACAATAATGAGATAGCCTTTACAAAATGAAAACATGCGTTTTTCTTATAATTGAATTAGAATAAACAACATCGCCATTTTGTTTGTATAACTCATGCCAGACACAACGAAAAAACAGACCTATACTAATACCAACCAGTAAACATCCAGAAGATGAAGAGCACACACATTAAGACAGTGTAGGTATTCAATGCAATTGAAATACTAGCATAGAATGTTCGAAATAGCCCCCATTCTACCAACAAAGAAGCCTCATTTTATAACTGCTGTAAACAAACCATGTTATATATACTTATGCATCAAACAATTACAAGGATAAGAAAAAACTCACCAGCTAGCAAATAGAGTTGTGAATGAATCCAACAATTTAGTTGGAGAAATCAGTTTGCGTCTGTCAATAAATAACCACAAAAGCAAATATTATGATAAGATTCATACAAGTCAAAAGAAACAACGAGGTGAGACACAACAGCAAGCAAAGACAACTAACAAAGTAAGATTCACACATAAACCTATAATATAATATTAACCACAACATGAACCTAAGCATTATCCATCCATCTTAGATCCAATCAACAACCTAATATTATATCATATAAATCATAAATAAATAAATAAATAAAATCAATTTTTTATTATAAGAAAACAAATTCAACAAGTAACAAATGTGGCAAAAGGGAAAGAGATGTAATGATCTTACCAGGAAGAAGAAAATGATAAAATGGAAGGAAAAATGAAGAGAATTTAAGAAAGAGGGAGAAAAAAAAGAGAAAGAGGAGAATAGGGTTCTGTTGTAGGAAAAGGATCGAAAGTAAAGGCGATGGAATCGAGAGGGAAATTGAGAGGGAGAGGAAATGAAAGGAAAAAGGGTGAGAGGGTGCTAGTGTTTCTCTCTCTTAAATTCTAATCTGCTTTTGGAGAGAGAAAGTGAAACCATACAGTCGCCATGTTCGAGTCATTTTTACGCTACAATCTACCCATGTTCTCCCACAACAAACTCTTTGTTCTGACGCGCTTAAGTAGCGCGTTTGAAACACGCTCCACGCTTATGTTTGTAAATGATGACGTGGCACGGAGTACGCCTTGGTTTCACGTGCTTCGTTTTTTAAAACCTACGAATCAATCGAGCATATTCTGTTCTATCGTACGGTTTATAATAATCGCAAAATGGATTTAATTTTTATTATTTATTTAATTAAAATGTTGAGAAAAGAAAATAATTTATCGTAAATGTCTTTTTTTTTTTCTTTTTTTTCTTTTTTACGAAAAAAGAATAAAGAAGAGCACCTCACGGAACTCCCGCAGAGGTGTCATCGTGGTGTTACATGGAGTCATGATAAGCATCAAATGACAACCGTTTTTTTTTTCTTTTACTCATGAATGAGTTTTCAATTTTTGGTGCCATGTCCAATTAAGTTTTTGGAACAAAAAGATATTCTAAACCTTAAGAAATGTTTGATTAAGAAGAGTGAATGTTTTAAGAATCTATTTGGTAAATAAATTTATAAAAAAAAAAGAGCTTTTAATTTTAGTTTTAATTTTTCTATTCACTTTAATAAAATAAAAAAAGTTTTGTTGGTAATTATTGTTTAGTATATATTTAGTTAGAAAAATAATAAGAAAAATAGTACTATATATTTAGATTTTTGACTCATTAATATATTTTTTTAATTTTTGACTCATTCTATTTAGTTTTTATAATGGACTATATACATCAAGTGATTAATGTATTTAATATATATAATGGACCATATACATAGAGTAATGTATGTATTTACTGTATATAATAAATCATATACATTAATTAAAAATATTTTTTTTAATAAATAGAATCGAAGAGTTATAATTATACTCTTTTCTTTTATTTTTATAATTTATTATATTATATTAGTATATTTGAATTTAAAAATATTAAATTGAATATACATGTTTTGTAGTATAATTAATTATATTTTTCCCTTTGATATTAGTATATTTGAATTTAAAAAATATTAAATTGAATATATATGTTTTGTAGTATAATTAATTATATTTTTCCCTTTGATTTTTGTTTTTATTTTTTATAGTTTATATTATATTATTAAATCTTAAATTAAAAATATATATACTAATAAATATAAGGGGTTTTATTACTATATTTTTTCTCTTCACATAAGAAATTTCACTCGACTATATTTTTTCTATTAGAAAAAACATAAAAATATTTTTCACTTAAATATATGAAACAATATTTTTTATAGATAATTATATAAACAAAATTATCATTCCTAAACATACAAAAACAAGAGAGAAGTATTTATCATCAATGTTTAAAAAAGCGCAAGATAAATATTTATTATTGATTAATATTATAAAAAAAAAACATGAGATGAATTTGATCTGACCTGATCAGAAGGGGATCACGATATGGCCACGTGCTACTGGACGGCTATCTGTTCACCGGGGTGAGAAGGAGGAGGGGGGTGTACC